GTACTCGTGATGAATAAACTGCAGCAGCTCTCGAAAAAAAAAGGTTTCGTTTTGCACTCTGAGCTGTTCATTCAAAGTTTGCAAGCTGCTCGGATTGGGTATTAGCGCGGTCACTCTGCTCCTGTAGCGCGTTTGTCTGTTTTTCCTACAGCTGCAGTAAGCCCTTCACTACCATCGTCTCGCACTTGGGCTAGCCCTTTTGCAAGTGCTTCCATCCCCTCACTAAATCCTTTGGTAACGGCACCTAACCCGGCCTCAACGCATTCACCTTGGCTGCGATTCAAGCGCTTGGTAGAGGGACCCGCGCGCAATTCCGATACGAGAATTCGTCTTGAACTGGAATCGGGGGACGAGGGCAGTGATGTTGCTCTGCTGGCTTCTCATGCAGCTGCAATAGTGTCCGTGTCCTCGGTGCTGAGATGAGGACTGTTGTTCATGCCCGTCGCATCGCCCCAGTAGACTTCCATAATGCAAAAATGATTGGAACGACGGACAGGGCCTCCATTGCCTGTTTGTCCTTCCTCTTCCCGAGCTGAAGCCCATTTCTGCTTCATGTTCTTCACCATGATGAAACCCACAAAGCATACATATCGTCAGTTAGGTTAGCAAGTATGTCATTTGACACTAAGCTTCCGGTTACCTTGGCTTGATAATGCTGATCGGTAAACACTTTGTGGCGATTAACGGAGAGCGTAGACGCCAGGACGGACCAGGCGTACTTGATCCTCTTCGTGTCCTTCGTGTTTTTGAACGAAGCCTGAAAAACTCTTCGACGTCGTCGTCGCTCCACGTGGCGTTTGGCCGCGAGCAGCTGTGATTCTTGTTGCTGCTTCTCGAACTAAGGAGACTCCAGCTCCTATCACATCTGACCTCGTATTTGCCCCCCCCCCCCCATCGACGCTGCTTAATCCAGTATCAACTTCTACCACCAATGTCATGGTACTCAGCTATCAAACGCTAGTTTCTGAGCGATGGTTTTTTTTTGTAGAATGACTTCGAGTCGATGTTCGAAGTCCGAGGCAAACCGACCACCTCAGCTTAGGGTTAGGCTTTACAAGACGATCTGAACCGAGCTGATCCTTTCCCGACCACGCCCTAAGTTGTGTATATGCAGTGTGTCGTGATGTGATCTGAGAGTTGTTCGCGCTACAGGCAACATTTTTGGAACGAATTAATATGTGTGAGGCTGTCCATACAGCTCTTCTCCCAGGAAAATATTTTTCTCGATGGGCCTCCTGAAAAAAATGCAGTTGCTGTATTTTTTTCTTAGAATTCCAGCATTCAGCAATATATTTCCGGAAAAATCAATAATAATACATTTTGAAAAATATTAAAAGGGAATATTGTTTTCCAAAACTATTTTTTTAAAATAAATTGCCTCATTGGAAAGATAAAGAATAGTATTATAATACGCCGGAGTAAATTGAAATAAGCGAAGTAATTTGGGTTCTTTATCTTTTCAAATGTGGCAATATAATCATTCAAAATTGCCTTGGAGAATCAAAGCGGAGTCGTTACTACAACTTTGCCACAATCACACGATAAGTGGTTTAGAGCGACACAGCAGCTTGCAGTGTTGCTCGGTAATTTATCGAGTTTATCTTCCCGCGAATTTGAAACCAAAAAATTAGACTAAGTACGAGGGGCGAGCGCCTCACATTTTCAGGAACGGGAGAAACCCACAACGGTGATATGGCAAAGCAGGACAAGAAGAAGTGAGCACCCAGCGCGGGCGCGACGAAACATGTGGGTATGGCGCACGTCCAGTCGGTCGCTAACACAGGTATGACACCGATGTTACACTGGGATGGATATAAATTAATTTGATGTGTGCAGGACGTCGCTCCAGCTTGCGCCAGCGTAGACACGTTGATTACGTTAGTCTAATGCGAGGCTACACGAAGGACGACTCCGACGACGACTAAGTTGACTCTCCGCAGGTAAGGCAAGATGTTGTTAAAGAAGATGGAGACGATAGACGGCTAACACGCAGGACGAGGGTGCCCCCGCCACGCAGGACGCCACGCAGGACAAGGGTTTCCCAGCCACACTGGGCAAGGATGTTCCCGCTACGCAGGACGCCACGGAGGATGATGATGTTTCTGCCACGCAGGAAGCGACGCCGGAGGCTATCACGCAGGACGAAGAGGTGGAAAACACCCAGAACGTTACCGTTGAGGTGGTAGTCGTGTCGCCGGCCGCTACCACTGAGGGCAACGTGGATGACAACACTGCGGGCAACACTGAGGACAACACTGAGGGCAACACTGAGGGCAACACTGAGAGTAACGCCGCCGCAGCGGGCTCCAGTGATACGGAAAACAATAGAGCAGAATCAGGTACGAGTCATCTACAATGTTATTTACTGTTTCTAATCAGAATTATCGACTGTAGATGACCCAGATCCTGAACCTCCAACCAAGCGTGTCCGGGTATCCACTGAAGGGTCGGCTAGTCGACCGCATCATCTCTGGCGTCGCCAAACAAAAAACGCAGATAACCGCAAGAAAATCGTGGAAACGCTAAACCCAGTAAACAACGACAAGCCAGGACTACCGCAAAAGGTCTTCAACACGTGGGAGGAGTATCAGAAAGTCCTCAAAGATTACGAAGCCGAGCAGTTCCTTTGCTATCGAACTCGGACCTCTCAGACAAGAGAGAAGCACAACAGGTGAAGTGCATTATACTGATATTAAGGTTTATGTTGTTGTCTCACTATGTCGTTAGCGTGTTGTATGCTGATACTGTATGTTGCTTCGTGTGTTGCTTAGGCTTCCTGGTGTTAGGAAGATACCTGATTATTTGACCCACAGCTTCAAACGAGTTTGGTGTATGTATGCTGCAACTCAGGCCCCCCGAGGTCATGGGCGCCGTGAACACGACAGCCGCTTTACGGGATGTGAAGCGAGCTTTGTTGTGCGTTCCGTATACTCAGTTGAGGCCGGAAAACCCTCGTGGAAAGTGTGTGTTGATGAGGACACAGAGGTGCGTTAGATGCTATTTCTTGTTACCATATTTGTTGTTCTAACTGTTTACTGCTCTAGATAACGATGCACAACCACCCCACTACGAAGGTGATCTACGATTCGTATCGTAGTGCGAAGTCACTTTTGTCGCGCAAAGTTCGGCAAGAACTCGGCCTATTGAACGAGGTGAAGCCCAGTACTGCTAACGTAACCCGCTATCTGGCGGACACGCTAGGTGGGTGCTTTTGGTAAAGGAGGTTGATAGCAGTCGACCTTAAGCATTGCTGCATCTTTCAAAGTTTTGAATGAGTTTAACAACATGTCGTTTACATGCAGATAATACTACTACACCTCAGCAAACACGTAACATGCTCCGGGTGTTGTTCGGGTCATCAGCGTTGGAACGAACGAAGTCTCTTTTGAATACTTTTGTCGCGGAAGAAGGAAACGATGTTCTCCTGGTGCAAGACCAAATGGATATAACATGTGTCATTGCATTGCAAACCTCCATTCAGAAGGAATGTTTCCGTCAGTGGGGTGACACATTGGTGATGGATTGGACGCACGGGACTAATAACCTCGGATATCATTTGGGTAAGTTGCATCGTATTTAATTGTGAAATAATGCACATGATAACTTCTATGGTTTTGTAGGAAGCCTTGTCGTCACGTCCGCAACAGGACGGGGC